GTACCCCCTGGAAGCTGTCTTTTCCAGGGACTTTTATAGAGGAAAGCCATGCAGTTAGGCAGGTCTAAGGTGGAGAACATGGGAACTCCCTTAGGTAGGCATGAGGTGAGACAAAATTATGGTCAATCAATGAGATTAAAAGTGCCATTGCTCAGGTAAAATTGATTAAATCCAGGACCAAATGGGCAGAGGAGTCACATAGCAAGTGGGCATGAATATGGGACAGGGTTTCTTCCTGTTGAGGGTTGGGCTAGTGACTCATTTGTGTTCTTTCAAGGTGATTGGTACCTCTTTAGAATATCAATCCCTGATGCCCATCTCTAGGGAAGTATGTAGCTGTATGTTCCTCTTTTGTCTGGAGGTCTAGCCCATATGGGAGTGTCACTCTCTTCCAAGTTGCAAAGTTACCTTGTCTTCCATCTTGTCTCCTTGAGGGCCTAGCCCTGTCTGACTGCCTATAATAATTCTAATTCAGCTGTCTACAACAGTGGGAGCAGGTATGTTTTTTTGTATAAGTCAGAAACATCATAAAATATGTAGTAGACAAATCACACCTGCTTCACCTGCTTGCTTCACGAGACAGATTAGATACTTTTTCCTTTGGTGTTTTAGTAAATTCATGGATGAGATTATCTTAATGTTTCACTGAATGCCATTAAGCAGGAGACTAGCACAGGGCAGTTAGATTTTCTTACGTCTATTCAAACCATCCTCACCTTAGCTCTAGATTTTTCTATTTAATTAAGGTCTTGGGGTGGAACTTGGTCTGAAATAAGCATCTCTCTTGACAGTCTCCGCTGTTGACAGCTCCTGCTGTAATAGCCTGGACCCTGCGTATCTCTGGCAGTCATTACCCTGATCTGTGTGGTAGACATATGACCTGTGCTTGAGAAATACTGTGGGTGGTTTCTCACCTACATCTTCTGACCTAGTAATTTACACCTCTGTTTGGTCAGTGACACAGTGACAGTGGTGAACATTTTTGTAATGACATCCTACTAGGCTTCAATTTCAAATTCATGATTAAATCCTTTTCACCTAAATTAAATCCTTTTATAGACATAGACACTTTTAATAATGTGCTTCCATGTTAGGCATAGTAATTAATTGCTTTGATTTTTATATTTATCACAGTCATAGACTTTGAGAATCCAGTCTGGCTTTTTTCAGCCAGTTGTGCCTGTGGGCTGGTGTGGTAGCTGACCCATTTCGTCCATCCTGGAAGGAAAGTCGGCTTGCTTAACTATTGCTTCCATCTGTTACTGCTTTGCTCCCATCTGGTGGCAGTTATCTCAAATTACAGCTCCATCGACCTGCTTCTAAAAGGTCTGACTTTTTCGTGGTGCCAGGATCATAAATTGAAATGCCTTTAAAATATGTCCTATACAAGTGTGGGTCAGGGAAACAGCCCATGAAATCCTCTTTAAGCAAGAAAGGCAAAAACTATGATAATTAGTATATGAACTAAAACTGTGATAATCAGTGTGTGTGCAAATACTTGTGTGTATATTTTGGAGTTTATATGCAAGTCATCTTTTAACTTCTATGTCACTTCAGTAAAGTGAAGGGGTTGATTATTTCAAATAAAGGAAGTACCCAGTCCTATTTTTTGTTCTGTAGCACTGTCAGATACTTTCTTCTCTTAATGGGTACTACATGGGTTTTCTCAACAATAGGTGATGTGGAAAGGACGTTTCTTAGATAGTTAGGAAGGAGCATGGCACAGCTCCAGGCTCTGCGCTTAACTAGCTTTGGAATTCCTAGGCCTCACTTGGTTTCTCACACCAAAAAGTAAAATTCTTGGTTCAGTGCTCTACAGGCTTAATGCTACTGGTGCAGAATCTCTAGTGCTATGACTTTTTTAAACATTCAAAATATCCATAAAATGAGGCTCCTTTGGACTATATATGAAACAATTATGAATATAAATACAAATTTCATAATCTATACTACTACTTTCCTTGATTCTAAATAATTATAGAACACATTAATGATTTTAAAGCTTTTTTGAAAAAGGAACTTTGTTTTGTTTTGTTTTGGTACTGGGAATTGAACTTAGATGCTTAAGCTGCTGAACTATTTCCCTGGCCCTAAGCCTACATTTTCATTATAAGACAAATTCTGGTACCCTAAATTTAAATGTAAAAAGATATGCGTCTTAGAATTTAGAAAGAGAGAGAGAGAGTGTGTGTGTGTGTGTGTGTAAAAGGAGGGAGAAACACTTTAATTTTCAATGCTAGTTTTTTAAAAAACTAAATATTTAAAATTCTGGAATTAAAATTAATAATGGAGAGCTGGGGAGATAGCTTGGCAGTCTAAGCACCTGCCTGGCAAGTGCCAGGTCCTGAGTTTAATCCCCTGATACCACATGTTGTGCCAGTCCCGCATCCCTGGACCTACTGTGTCGGCCCCAAAACCAGGCATGGTGACACACTCCTGTAATCCCAGTGCTGGGGAGGCTGATACAGGAGGGTCACTATAAGTCCTAACTGCGTAGCCAGACCCTGTACCCAAAAATAAATAATGGAACAGTTTAATGTATTGTAAGAAAATGGAAAATATTCTTGGTTAGAGATTAGAGGATTACAAACATGGTAGTTAAATTCTGGATGGTTAACAACCTAAGTTTGCAGACCAAAATTAGAGAAAAAGGAGGGCTACAAGGAAAGCCAACATTTTGGCCCTAGCCTTCTAAAGTCAATTAAGACTCAGGACATATGAGAACTTGTACTGTAACGTCATGTACCTCGGTAGTGTCCCAAATTTTCTGATCAAGAAGATTATGGGGCCAAAGAGGAAAGTGATCGTAGAGTGTGCCTAAGGAGAGTCACATGGGGAGAAGACACTCTCTCAGGCTTTCACAGAGAGCACATTGGCCAAGCAATGGCCGTGACTCATCCACATGGCTGCACTGACAAAGATTCTACGGATAAATCCTGAGGGCATTTCACTGACCTTCTCAGACCAAAAAGCTACAACTCTTGTTGCATAGGTCCTGCTTTACCTTGGTCTTAACCATCCAGTAGAAAAGTATGAAGACGAAAGATAGGAAATAAAGCCATACTGTTATGTTGAGCTGTGGGGGACTCGGGTCAATAATTTCTGACATTGCCAGTTAAACAGAAGACCCAATGCTATTATGGGCTACTGGACTCTTTTAGAATATTTTGCTGAGTTTACACACCTATAATATTCAATAACGGAACTTAAAACAAATGGGGTATACCGATAAATGTCCATTTTGTATCTGTGTATTCAAAGTGGTTAGGATAAATATATAGTTGCATTCTTTTAATGAATAGAATGATTTGTTCTAATAGTGTTTGTAAATGGGATCACAAGTCCGCATCTTGTACAGCAGTTAACCACTAAGAAGAATATATACAGTGTATTATTTGTTGAAACGGTACTTCCAATTTGATTTGAAACTGTCTCATTGCTATCTGTTTATCAATAAAACTTTGAAAAAAAAAAAACCATTGTAGTTAAAGGTTGGATGGCAAAGTTTTGTCTGAGAACCATAAAAGAAAATAGTGACTGAAAATACTCAGAAATGCAGTCACTGCTAAATCATCACAATGCATGTTTGGGACATTGGAATTCATTAATTTTGTTTTTATAGAACCATGTATATATTTTATGAAAACATGGAACAATGCTTTATGATTAAGGCTCTTTTTGTTTATGAGGAATAGATCTTACTCAATTTTCCGAAGTGTTAATTACTGTAATGGAACATCAGGAAATGCATAGACAGTACACAGACATCTACGGAGGTGCCACTGAGGGTCAGAGGAATTAGAATCAGTTCTCAAATGTTACTTCCTAGAGGCTGGAGATTTCCACAATGGCTGCTTACTGATCTGTGCAGTTTTGCAGGTGGCTGCTCGCTCCAGTACCTCAAGTTCCCATACTGACGACTTCCTTCCATGTTCACGTCTATCTGGTTAGTGAACATCTTTGTATGTGGAGTAGCCCAGCAATGTTGTTTTTTTTTCTGTGCAGGGTCAGTGGACAGAGTGTGTGAGTTAAATGATGGGTGGGTGCAAGCAGGCAGATGGACTGAGCTGTCATAATTGCAGCTTGTGCCAAAGCCTTCAACTGCAACAGCTTTTCTACACCTTGTCTATCAGTCCTCTTAACAAGGTCATTGAACACCTCATACTGTGCTTTGGAAGTGAGATTGAGACTAGCAGTTCTAAGAATTTGTGTAATCTAGAGGTTAACAGTAGAACATTGTGAATTCCTGCTAGAGTTGTATAAATTTCTGTTACTGAATTGTGAAGTAAGGGTACTGCAGATTTTAAAGTGCATATCCAGTAATGTCTGTTATATAGAAGAACACTTTCACACTACATTTTGTGTCTTAGTAGCCCACAGAATACAGGGAGCAGAGAATCTTCAACACTTACTGATTTGAACTGAGGGGTGAAGTGAGGAAGGGTGAGAAGAAAAGGAGATTCTTGAAATAAATTAATGACTGTTTATCATAACAATTATTAAAATTTTCTCCCCTCTGTTATGAGAGAAAGAGTCCTGGACTTAAAAACAAAGAAAAACAAACAAAACCTTGGTTTGAATTGAATCTCTTCTACACCTTTGTTTTCTTCAGCTAGTTATTGTTTTACTAGGAATGATAACCCCACCCTCACAGGATCATGCGGCCAATTTAACAAGAGTATCACAATGCCCAGACCAGTAGTTGGATCTTTTTGCTTCTTCTATTCATTCATGTGTTTATCTGTGGGCTCTTTGGAAGACAATCACTGTTCTTCCTCGATTCTGGAATAACTTACTGATAAGGAACATTTCTCTGACTCTTGGCTCCGTTCTATAAGTCATATCTCTGAGTTCTAGGAACCTAAGTGTCTTTGGGCCAGGTCAGCCTTATGACTGGCTAACAATGGCACAGTACCATTAACAGTAACCGCAGCAACCTGCAGCCATCATGATTTTTTGAATTTGACTGAAAAGAGCTTATGTGTGTGCTTCTCTCACAGGTGGATTTGCTATAGTGTTTCTGGTGAGGACAAGCAATGGGATGAAATGTGCCTTGAAACGCATGTTTGTCAACAATGAGCATGACCTCCAGGTGTGCAAGAGGGAAATCCAGATCATGGTAAGGCTGCCCCTTGAGCCTTGACCCTTCCTGGGAAATGGAGCTAGAGACTGCCCTGGCAGAAGAAAGCCGTGGGTGGGGGTGGGAGGTGCCCTCCCCAGACGTGGCAGTGAAGCCTCTGGCCAGGGGGTATTCCTTCCTTGGTCACCCTCAGCTGGAGGTTGGGCAGAAACAAGTACTTTGAGACAGTGGGCCAAGTTTTAGGTTAGAGAAGTCATTTGGGACATTGGCAAAAGCTTATTTAACCACTTTGTTCTCAGAAATAAAATGTCGTGCATAATGTGGAAACCCTAACTTTCTGAGGAGCCTCCTTTTGTAGCCCTGTCTTTCTCAGTGTCCAGTCCTCTCTCCCAGGCTTCAACCCTCCTGAGCTCATTAGCATTTCATGAGCAGATCCTTACTTAAGTTTATATTTTGTGCATGTAGTTTCTAAAAAACCTAGAAACTGTATAAACTCGTGCAATTCCATTTGTTAAAGTCTGAAGAACAGTTAAAATTGATCATTGGCAATAAAATCAGATAGTGGTTGTCTGGATTGGGAAACTGGCCAAAAGGGGTGTATGAGAGCTTTCATGGCCATGGAAATGTGTTGCTTTTGGTAACATTCACACAGGGGTGTACAAACATCAGAAGTAAAATGGACACATTAAAATCTCTGTGTTATTGTATATGTTGATTATATATACACTGTATATGTTAATTATATTTACATATATGCTAATTATACCAACATATTATATATGTTATATACATATATGTTAATAATATACATACATATGTTGCATGTTGATTGTACATTGGGATTTTAAGACTCATCTTTAAGATTTATATTTATATTGTATTTAAGGAAAGCGTCCCTATGCATTAGAGATACATGCTGAAGTATTTCTAGGTAAAGTAATATAATGTCATGAAGACTAAGTGGATGTAGAAGAGAAACAAAAATGGGCATGTGCTGATGATCAAAGCAGAGGGGTGGCTGTGGGAGTCTTCTGCCTGTGTGATATTATGCATGATAAAAAACCACTATAATTAGTCTTTCATTCCTTTGTGTTTCTATAGTATTTTGTTTGTACCAATTATGTTGTTTAATGTGTTTTAAGTAGTTCCGCAATTGAAAAATTAATTATATATAATCAGAAACTTTATACTTTCCATATACTGCTTGACATTTTTTTTTTTGTTTTTTTTTGTTGTTGTTGTTCCTCGAATGGCTTCAGGGCACTTTTGGCCAGCGGGAGAGTTGTGAGGTTTGAACTCCAGCAACCTAAGGCTGAGAGCTTTGTGGAAGCAGCCACTTAAAGGCCTGAGCTAGGGCCATGCCCCCACTGCTTGACATTTAGTAAATGGGTTAATAAACTTTGGATGAAATGAATGCATGAACAGTGACAATAGCAATACATGTGTTTACCTAAAGACAGTGATTTCTTTGTGCCCTTTATTTTAATGCTTTTGTAAAGAGCAAAAAGCAAGAGAGGTGGTGGTATCTTTGTGATATTTCACCAGGCTTTGCCTGCTCCTACCCTTCCCTGGAAGGAAGTCACCTTTTCAGCGTCTGGTAAGAGTAACTAATACTGCACTTGCTCTACTGAAAAAAACTTCAGGATAATAGAGAACCTGGTGTACTATGAATTCTAGAAAGCTGACACTATGTGGGGAAGAACTGTTACCACTGTAAGTAAGTTCAGTCAACCAATTCCCAAGGCTCAAGACCAGGTAGATCTGCTTGCAAGGTACCAGTGTCTTCCTGTTCCCCTGACACATGGCCAAGCTATAGTCTCTTCCAGAACCTAGAGGAGGGGACATGCCTAATTCATAGTATAAAGACATTGTTACCCTGATGCCAAAGCAGATCTAACAAAAAATGAGGCAAAAGGGCCAGCCAAATAGCTCAGCAGATTAAAGGGCCGGCCAAATAGCTCAGCAGATTAAAGGGCCTGCAAGCAGGCACAGGGGTTGGGGGTCTGATCCCCAGGCCTGCTGTGCTAGCCCCATCCCCGGGGCACACTGAGAGGGGGATTGAGACTGGGCATGGTGGCACACCCTTGTAATACCAACACTTGGGAGGATGTAAACAAGCGGATCACTACTAGTCCAATCTTGTAGTGAGACCCTAATACCCTGTAGACCCTTCCCTAAAATACAAAAAAAAAAAAAGCAAAGACAATGCTGTACCTCTATTCACACACCCAGTGGGTTTTCTGGGTCTTTCTTGTTCCTCCTTACTCCTCCTTGTTCCACTCTTGCTCCACTCTTGCTCCATACTCACACTAAAGCTTTGCTTCTGCTGTTTCTTCTGGCTGGGATGCCCTCATTTGTTTACTTGAATAAGAAATGCAGTTCTAGTCTTTCGCTTTCTTCTATTTATTTAGAAACAGGGGGAGGGCTTACTGTGCTAGGCAGTTATTGTTGTTGAAGAGCTAAAGAAACACAGGTTCACAGGAGCTTACAACTTAACAGGCCTGAGTAGGAGTCAAGTTACATGGGCTCAAGTTCTGGTCCAGTCACGTATTAGCTGTGAAAGTTTTGTTTCATTTTATTTTAACTTAATGTTTTTTAGGGATTACATAATCAAATAATTGAACTGAGCTTGTTCAAAATAGCCAAGCAGCCTCAAGGGTGTCCTCCTAGGCCATTTCAGGGTTCCAGAGGCAACTGCTTAGTTGATTCTTTTCATAAGTTTCTGAATAACGTGCTAATATTGCTACTTGTTGAATTCTTCTCCATTTTAGGTATTATCTGCTATGGGAAGTAACGATTTAGCCCATGTGTCTCCTGCCAAGCACTCTTCCTAAATGCATGCAGCATTCTCATCCCCATTCTTCCAAAATAAAAGTAAACTTTAACGATGCATTGGTTGTGTTAATATTAGTTTTTATATTATTTTGTAGGAACTGTTCTAGCTGAATCTTTTAGTGGACAGTGATTAATAAGCCTTATTTAACTGTGTTCACTAGAATTAATAATTATTTTATTTTTCTTCTATTGGTCTTAGCTTTCGCTGTACTTTCCAACAATGTAATCCTTAAGCCTAACTTATATGAATTGCTTTTTGAATATTTAGCTACATTTGAATATTTAGCCATATCCCATCCCGTCTCTCTCAGGAATTTAGTATTTTCTGTTTGTCGTCTTGAAAATTTTTCCCTTGGTCTTTTCTGACTTGTTGCAGTCTGGACTAGACAACTTGAGTTAGTTCTAAGACTAACTTAATTTGACCTGCAGTGGTAGCAAACCTGCGGTCCATGTGTCATTGCTATTTGTATCATTGAAAGCTCATTTGTCCTCACTGTGACCTAAGAATTCCCTTTAGCTCACTGTTTTGTTAGGTCTAGGATCAGGGTAATAAAGTCTTTATAGTATGAAATGAGGCTTGTCCACTGTTCTGGTGTTCTGGAAGAGGTTGTGTAGAATTGGTGTTGAATCCACGTTAAGCTTTTAGTAAAATTCTCCTTGTGGACCTGGGGATTACTCCTTTAGGAGTTTTAAGTTTCAAATTTCGTTTCCTTAATTTTACAGGGCTGTTGACTGATAATTTCAGATGAGTAAGTTGTGATAGTTGAGGAATTCGTCCATTCAGGTGAAATTCATGCTTTTAGAAGTTGTTTTGTTTTCGTTTTCTACCAGTTTTAATTGAAATTCTATGTGTTTTTAACTCCTTTAAACTCACATTTCTCTCAGGAGCCATATCCCATCCCATCTCTCTCAGGAATTATAAGAATTGTGAAGGGAATTGGAAGATGTAGCACTGTTTCCGACATGCAAAAACTTGCGTGCTGGTATCCCAAGATGAGGAATTTTCTATGTGCTTATAGTGGAAGAAGGATGGGCATGCTACAGTCAAATACAAGAGAACAGTGGCTTCTCTAGAGTGGCTTCACATTTTATTTTAATAAATGCTATCTGCTAGAGTCTAGTATGAATCCTTTGATACATCTGGGATTTGTGCTCTAATAGAACCAAAGGGATTCTGATTTCTGATGAACAGTTGGAAGTGGGACTTCTGATTTGTTTGCCTAAAGGCAGGAAAAGATTATAATTATCTTCAGACTTAAAAGAATAAGAACAGAGATAGGAAAGATCTAAAACTTAAAATGTGTTAAGCATTGTCCTACGTTTACCTCTCCTGGCCCATATGAATTACGTCCTCATTGAGCTTGATAATGAAGACATTGAATTGCGCTGATGATATTTGAAGACTTAGAACAGAAGGGAGATCAGACAATTTGAGGCAAGCAAGTGTTTTCATATTCTTCCCCCAAAAAAGATGCAGATTCGGTACAGTAGAGAGCTCCTCAGGTTTTATATGAGGCAAAATCTGGAGCACATTATTTTTAAAGATCTTTGATGCTGTGCTACCTTTAGTGTAAGAAAAGTTGGTGCATGTGTACCTAACACATATTGTTTGAACCTAATTTGCTTGGAAGAAAACAGTGGAAAGAGAGAGAGAGGGAGAAGGGATGGATGGAAGGAGGGAGGGAGGGAGAGAAGAGAGGTAGTCTTCTAAGGGGATGAGGACAGAAGTAGGAAGTAACTGTTAATATTTTGTTCTATTTGAATGTTAATATACTACTCACTGAACAAAATAGACTTTAAGCTGTGTTTTTACTTGGCTGAGTAAGCAGGCCCCAAAGAGCCTTGCCATTCAGCCATGTCACATAAGCTGTATCTTGCTTTAGGAACCTTTTTGGATGGGGGTGTATGCAGTTAATCCAGGGTCTGGGCATTTTTGCCAGTTCTTGATAAGGACTTATTATCCATCTGTGGGCAAATGGAGGGTCTAGGCTGGCTGCTGCCAGTTGGATATAATTGTTCCAGTTATTAGGATTTCTGATCAGTATTTTATTTTTATGACTTGGATATGGAGGAAATTTTCTAAGGAAAAAACCACCATGGCTTACTACTAGTTTAATGTTATTTAGCATTTAACAAATAACTTGCTAAAAGAAAAAAGACATTTAATAATTAGGTACTTAATATAAACTTGGAAGATGTAATGG